CTGGTGCATGATGCTCTCTGTGGGAATTCCAGCCTTGCATAAGAAAGTCTGCCAACTGTGCTCAGTCCAGGTAGTGCCAGTTTCTCAGAACGCCTTGGCTAACCATTCCATCACCGCCATGTCCCAAAATCCTGCAGTGCATGACGAATCATGACATCATGGCGCATGCACGAATGAGTTAAGAAAGCCCTTGCGCCTTGCACCATCACTGCAGCTGCAGTCACTTCCGAAGCCTCGCTCAAGTCGTGAAGGTGATTCGCACGCAAAGGTGTGTGTGTGTGTGGCATGATCCACAGCCTGCCTCTTCCACAACTGCTGATGATGCTAGGGCTTTTTGAAGCAAGGCAGCAAGGGCCTCGCGATGGAAGCGTTGCAGTATGAACAAAGAATCAACGAATGCAACACATGACAAGATCCTGGCTTGCATGTCAACGCCATAAGCCTGCCCACTGGACGCCCGCTTAGACTGACACACGTGACACTGGCAAATGGCAACTGCCAACGCGGAAGTTTGGCTGTTTGCATTGCAAAACTCAAGCTGCTCCCTTTTTGGATCTCAAAGGCGGCTTCTCACTTTTCTTGTTGCATCTCCGCGCTTCGCCTCACATACAACGAATTGACATGCCTCCATGTTTCGATTGAAAGCTCTGCGGAGGTGATGCGAACTCGCGGCAGAATTACTCTTGATGGCCCAAATCTAACACAATGCAATAGCACTTCCTTTTCCGACTGTCTTCAACGGAATCTTCCCCAGGCAGATCAGGCTTGAAGTGGTACTAATCCACAAACGCCCCGCAGCCCCGCACCCCCCGGAACACCCCCCGCACCCACCCAGATACCCCGCATTAACTGTGTCTCAGTCTCCAACCCAGGTCCCTTTTGGCGCTGCTGGTGCTGATTTCAGATCAGCTAGAACCTCGCCGAAACAGTCAGAGCACGCATGGGTTGTTCGGTGCAGCCTGTGGCGGAGCCATACTGCGCTTCGATGCATGGGCGAGCAAGGCACTTCGGCACCTGCTTACGAGGCCGGGAGATTTGCGCAACGTGTAGCCGTGCATTGCATAGCCTGCTTGCCATTTCGACCACATCAGGACTTCCGAAGGGCAGGTTGGCTTCGGCATCATTGGGGCAGCGGCCTAAGCCAAACCCTAGAGCCTGAAGCATAAAAACTGCCACAAGAGCCCGCCTGAAAGGACTTCGCAAATCACAAATGGCAAGTTTGACTGCCACGCCATGGCTGCATGCGCAGCTGAGGCCTTATTGGACTGAGGCCTAAAATTGCTTCTCACAGCGTCTCACTCTGAGGCTGCGGCCTCACACAAGGCTGCCAGAGACTGAGCTACAAATCGAGGCCTTGGCTGCCATGTCTCATTCAGGGCTCATCTCCACGCATTTACCACCCTCTCAGCCTGTCAGATCTTGATGCGCCGTCTTGCAATGAACAGGTCTGTGACGGTCTGTGCTTGTGCAGTTTCCTTCAAGTTGATAAAGGGGAAAGCAGCCTGGCGAGGTGCTTGCCGCGTCTTGAAAAGGTGCGGTTTCAGGCTGAACGGAACAATGACGTACAGGATGCTTGGCAGCTTGTGAGACGCCCGCCGATAGTCAACGGGCATCCCACAAAAAACGCAGCTGGACACCACCTGTGCATAACTGAGCTGCCGATCTCAACATCTGGCTACTGAAGCATGTCACTGACAGGGAAAGCAACGCACTCCTCATCGGAAGTCATCTGCAGCCTTGCACAAAGAAGCTGCACCAACCTTAGGGGTTTTGAGTGCAAAGGTCGGGTACAACGACACGCACCAGGACCTTGTTGCATACAAAGGTCTCTGGCAGCAGTCGCAAGGGTACGAGAGCACAAATTTCTGGTCGTTGTTCTTGCCGCATGGTTTCGCTCAGAAATGCTAGACCTTGCATGCGTCTGATAAGGAATTGCTGCTTGCAAAAAGGCAATGCTTGTGGAAACAAAGCTTGAAGTAAGCTCCAGACCCATAGACGCAAGCAAATCAAGCCTGACCTAGCTGGTCCAGCAGAAAATTCGCTCTACGTGTCGCTCTGTCCTGCCCTTGCTCCCGGCCTCTGACTTGCGCCGCGCTTGGGGCCGGGTGAAAAGTGCTAGCGACTGAACCTCAGCTTTTTAGTGCTCCTTGACTCCACACTTTGCTGGGGGCAGCACGGCATCGGCCCGACGCAGAAGCCCGTGCGTATCAGGAAACTGTGCCTTGCAAATCAACATGAAACCACCAAACAGATGTGCTTGCGAAGACGAGAGCAAAGCAAGTGACACTGAGCGCGTGCATAGTGACTAATTCTGTAAGCGCGTCAGTACACGAACATGTGCAAGGAGGGAACCTGTTCGTGTAGAAATGGACACTTTGTGTCATGGTTCATTAAATGTTACGCAGCGGGACTTCTGTCAAGCACAGAGCACGTGTGGACAGCTACCCAAGCTTCTTGATCCCTCCTGGACGCTCGCCGGCATGCATCCTTGGCTCGATCTCGCAGATGCTTCGACATGGCTTCCACGCGCTGCGCTGCGGTGACGAAAGGCGGCGACATTCTTGTCCCCGGTTTTGCAACCAAGCTGCAACCCACAGACACCACGCTCACGCTGTGCGTGCTTGGACTTTCACGGCCCTTCCCTGTTGCGCGCGCCCACACCGGCGAGTCCGGCAGTTCGGCCCCAGCCTGTTTCAGCCGCCATAAGTTGAACGCTTTCTGGGTGATTACTCCACTTCTGACGCCTGTCACAACCATGTAGGATTTGCTACCAGCACATCCTTACGACAAGCTTACTGCCAATGGCTGCTTGCATGCCTCCCCAAACGCGCTCCAGCTGGCAAACAAGCACCCGGCAAGGTCTGCGACAGCGTAGACCGTTGCACATCTTCCGGGCCTGGAACCTCTGGACCATTCGCGCGGATGCTTTGCAGCACGCGGCGAGCCGCTTGAGGCCCTATATTTTCGGACTCACAAGGATTCTCTGTCCTCCTTGCCAGACATCGCGCCTTTCATCATGGACATGGAGCCCTTTATGTCTTCCGGCAGGCTTGCAGGGTTTCACGAAGCGCCCTTGCGCCCTTGCGCCGATCATAGGGCCTAATCAAGCCAAGCGTGCGTGGCAAAGGCTTGTAGCAACAGAATGCTATTGAGGGGCACGCGTTTGCAGCTAACAAGCCAAACGCCAAGGTGAGGTGAGCGCCAACGGCCTTTCAGCCACCATGGCGCGTTGCAAAGCTCAGTTCTGATCGTTCCTGCAATCTGGCCCGCGTCGCCGGCGAGTGGCCAATGGCCAGCTCCTTCCAGGGCGAGACTAGACAACACCATCTTGCTTCTCCCCCGCGCGTTGAGCGCCTCCTGAATAGCGACTCCACTTGCTTCACGGCTGCCGAGGGCTTGCTACCTCCTTCTGGGGCCAGAGCACGCAGCCGCCACTTGGTCATTGTTTGCAAATGACCTCCTCCAGCTGCAGGTCAGCGATGCCAGTTTTTGACAGAGCTGAGGGCGATCACGGAAGCCCGAACTGCCTCCTGCTAAGTTTCCGTGATTGGGAGCTGGGACGGTAAAGGACGAGCAGTCGCTGCTGGAGGGGCAGGAACAGGAGGCGCATGTTGAAGATGAGGTTGGCACGGGCTTCGCCAAAGTTGGCATTGGGGAACAAGCAGGCTGCGTCACAGAAGCTGGCGTAGCCATCGCTAGATGACGGAACCGGAGTGGCTGAAGACGGCAGAGTATCGTTGGCATAGCAAATCAAGGGGGCGGGAGGAGGAGGAGGAAGCGGAGGTGGAGGAGGCGGTGGAGGCGGATGAGGGCAAGGAGGAGGAGGAGGAAAAGGAGGAGGAAGGAGGTGGAGGAGGTGGTGGAGGTGGATGAGGACAAGGACAAGGACAAGGAGGAGGAGGAGGAGGAGGAGGAGGAGGAGGAGGCAGGAGGAGGAGGAAGGAGGAGGCACAGACGAGAAGGAGCCACCGTGCGTTGCAAACTTAGAGGCGAAGAAGGAAAGCGACGGCGACGAGGATGCCGATAACGGGATTGAGCGCGCGCGCGCGACTGTCACGGCTAGGCATGGACGCAACAAACGAAAGGCGCTGACAACCCACTTTGATCAGGCTCACAAGCAGCAAGCAACCCACGTCACACTGCAAGCCACTGTTGCAACGCAACTCACCAACACCACGCGTCACAGTGTAGAGAAGCTAACTAAACTGATGAGGCAGTCAAAGGGGACGATTCTAAACCCTTTCCCAAACCAACGTTTAGCATCCGAGTAGAGATTCACACACCGTCTCTTGTAAGCAGCTTTCATACAGGTCATGGCAGAGATGCCCCAGGGGTCGCGCAATGGGAACACCAAAGGATCCCCAACTGGGGTGACACGCACTTGGGCTCCCAAAGGAGGAAGCCAATCAAGGTCGAGCATCAGCAACTCGAGTGGCGCATGATAGATTCCACGTTGGGAATTCTGAGTCATGTCAGGGGGGCAGAAAATCATATGGGGAACCAGGCCGTGGGTGTCCCAACCGACACCTTCACCGCGCATTGCCAGCTTCGTTGGTGGAGAAGCAATGTGGATGTCTCCACCCGCTGCATGAACAAGGTCGGTCCCTGATCTACGCACACGCTCGCATGGGTGCTGTGGCCATCAACCGCTACCCTGAACTGACAGGCCCTTATCATGTGCGAAAAGCCTAAAGCGGAGGACATTCATGTAGCTCTAACTGGAGTAAGCTTAGCAAAAACAAATCAAGGGAAGCGAAGTGCAGTCCATGGCAATGACTTGCAACCACTAGGCTGCTTTGACATGTGACATATTGAATCCGTCAATTTAGACGAAACAGCCATGCTGCTTGGCTCGAATAGTTTGACTTGCACTACTGAGCAGACTGCACCACTAAACCCAACGGTGAAGTTCAGTGCTATCGCTGCAGAAAGTCAAACGAGTGCACAAAATCCGCATGACGGATGCATTTAGCATGACAAAACCATAGCAACAGCGGAGAGCTCGACGAGGGCGCACCAAGCGAATCAAAGCCATCAAAGCCCAGGCGACCAGCTGTGGCTCCTAGGACAAGGTCACTGAGTATGAAGGAAGGGCATTAACAGGGCACTTTCTTCACGCTAAATCTCCTTGCGTCGCAGAGCTTTGCAAAGCGATGGGCCGACCTCCAAGGAATGTGAGTGGGCGACGTGACACTGGTTGATTGAGATGTGCGGATTATTGATTGAGACGATTGACCTTGCAGTCTGAATAAACAAAAAGTGGAATGTTAAACTCGACATCCAAGATGCATTGGGCCTCTTTGCTGACATACACAGCTGCTTGAGGAGTTATGGCAATGGAGCGGACCTGACGCCGCAGAAAGCTCTCCTAACATACATTCGGGGTAAGGCTGCAATGGTACTTCACCAAGCTCTATTGCGGAAGATGGCTTTACCAACGTTATAGACCCGCTGCAAACCCTTCGGCTGCAAACGTTCGGCTGGAGATACATAGATATCATAGCTATGTGTGTGCTACCGCTTCAGCTACATCACCCAAACACAAATCATATACATAATGCCAATTGCAAGCCTCACTTGCATAAAGCACAGACCACACACACACACCAAGCATGTCTTGCTTAGCTTGTATAGCATCCCAGGCATTGTTGACATACATTGTGCTACGCGCATGAATATTGCATCACGCACATGTTACATACACGACATGCATTACAGCCGTTGAAACTGCCCTACATACTGCTACTCTTGCATTGCATCAAGTAACAACCCCGTCAATGGATTCAACATTGCCTTGCAGGCATGCATGCATTCAAATTGCAAAGCATTGTTCCACGCGTAAACAAAGTGTCACTGCAGGGGAGTCTGCATGGATGGAGTCTGCATGGATGATACTGAAGGCTATGGCATGGAGTAATTAAGGGTCACTCCAGTGTGCTAGCCTGGTGTGGCGATAATTTGACGTGCAACTCTGGGAGAAGAGTCTGGTTTTGACGCATTTGGCATGCCTTGTGATAGAGAGACAGGAATTCAGAGCAAGAAGGACTGAAAGCACCACTGACTTGCCAACAGAAAGGATGGCGGGAGAAAGCAAATCACACTTGAACCATTGGACATTGTCATACAATCCAGCATGTGCCTTATGGAGCAAACAGCGCACTCTGCATTGAGGTGCCAACCATAGCAGCTGCATCAACCGCCTCCGGCCAAGCAACGACACAGCCCTGGCAAGAACTGAGAAGCACATATGCAAATATGGCATCACGCACACCCACCTCAGGCCCCAGAGACAGCGCTGCAGCAGCAGCTCTCAAGATCTCCGCATCACAAGCAGCCTGCACGGAGCTCAAGGGCACGTGAAAGTTGACCTTCCTGAGCCCACCTTTAACTTCAACTTGTCAGCCAACGAGCCACGTGCACCTTCGTCAGGACACCTGCAAGCTTGGCAAATGCCGGTGTCATGAAACGAAACAGAACACAAGGTACCCGGGAGCAGCAAGTGCTTCTCGCAGATCGGCCATGGAAACGTCCAGCCGCCTTCACAAACTGCAGAAAAGCAGGCAGTCTGACAAAGCTATCCTAGCCTTGAATCTGTGAGAAACGCAAGTTATTGACTAAGCATCTCTCGCCTTTGACACGCCAACTTCGGAAAGCATCAAGTCAGAAAAGGAATGCAAAGCATTGCGACTTCATACCTGCCATGAAGAGCCAACCGAACTCAATGTAGTCATACAGTCAAAGAAATTTAACATGCTGTCAATGGGTCGTTGATGAAACACACACGCACACACGAAACTGCGAGAACAACCATTCAAGACACTCACCCAAACCGGAAATTGTGTTGCTGGCAAAGCGGCCAAAACATACTCCTATACTGTTTCAACTCATACGCAACTCTCGGGAACTCAGCGGCCATGCTCTGCCTCAGCAAGCCCAGCCACCGATCTTATTTGACTAAGCGCGAAAAGTAAACATGGTGGGGGGACAAGGGCCATTATGCATGGATTCGTGAATCTTCTGCCTTGCACGCATGTTGCTTTCAGGTAGACTTGAACTGGCAGCATGCCTGACGCCTCAACAATGAAACTCTTTTAATCTGGTCGGTTTATGCCTTGTCCGAGGAATCAGGGTGAGAATGTCAGGCCAAATCTAAATTTTGCCAGGGACTGTCCAACAGTTGAACAACACCCTCGATCTCCCTCAGCTCACGTCACAATATGTCATGCCGCTAGCCTGGGAGTTGGCAGCTGGTCTCGCACATCCATGGCATTGACGCGTCACCACGAACATACAAAGCAAGCTACTTGAGCTATATAGTCTGATTTGGAATTCTCGCACTGCCGCGCTGGTCTTCATTCAGTCAGGGTTTAGGCATGTTTGAGCCTTGCTCCGGATGCCTCATTGTCACGACGCGACATGCCAAATCTGCAGACATCCGCAGCACACCTCCAGGCCGTGGATCAATGTAACATGGTGTCCTCGCCGAGTGTCTGTTCGTACCTGGCAAAGAACTCTACGTGTCACGTCCGAATGCCCAGATTAAATCCTTAACTCCAACTCTCCATATTGCGCTGGCATCTTCGTGTATTGTAAAGAATGACCTGCTGCTTTGCGTCTTCTCCCTCTAACTCTCTATGCGCCGCTCCCTCCAAAGCAATTTTGGCCTTTCTAGTCATGTCAGCTCATTCGTTGCCTGGCTGTCTCCCAGCACTTTCTCTCCCCATGTAGCTGCCCCTCTGCGCGCTCTCTCTGCCCTGCCACTGACTCCCAGTCACTCCGCATACTTCTCCCCTGCTTATCCCGGTCGACCAAACGTTTGTCCATCTTACACTCAGACTCTCACACTCTCACCCACCCGCTTGCTCCCTCGCGCTGCCTGCTCACCTTTCTAGGGCACACCTGCCACATGTGACTCACGCTTGCTCTGTTTGAATGTCGGCGACATGGTTTCTCCGATTGGTCTGGTTTTGCAGTCTGTTCGAGTAGAACTGAGCACTTAGATTTTTGCCTCGATGGAAAGCTCACATGACTGCCTCGCTTCCCCCTTTGAAGGGATTGCCTTCTGTGGGCTCAAATAGCATGTTCCATGCTTGCAAACACACGCTTCGCAAATGTGTGAGTTAAAGGTTAAAACAAACATGGGCACTGTGATTTGTTCCATGGCAATGTCCTCTGAATCGCTGGAAAATCGCTCTCTCTGCCCTGCCACTGACTCCCAGTCACTCTGCATGCTTCTCCCCTGCTTATCCCGGTCGACCAAGCGTTTGTCCATCTTACACTCAGACTCTCACACTCTCACCCACCCGCTTGCTCCCTCGCGCTGCCTGCTCACCTTTCTAAGGCACACCTGCCACATGTGACTCACGCTTGCTCTGTTTGAATGTCGGCGACATGGTTTCTCCGATTGGTCTGGTTTTGCAGTCTGTTCGGGTAGAACTGAGCACTTAGATTTTTGCCTCGATGGAAAGCTCACATGACTGCCTCGCTTCCCTCTTTGAAGGGATTGCCTTCTGTGGGCTCAAATAGCATGTTCCATGCTTGCAAACACATGCTTCGCAAATGTGTGAGTTAAAGGTTAAAACAACATTGGGCACTGTGATTTGTTCCATGGCAATGTCCTCAGCAGCCTTTCTCACTGCTGAATCGAATTGCTGGAAAACCCACTAAGAGCCTCGAGAGCAAATGTTGTCTTGTGTTCCCCTGCAATGCTTGACTTTTGATTTTTCATCTGCGATGAGTTCCACGCGCAAAACAGTTTGCACAAAAAGGTGCCTTTCTGATTCAAAGGAGAGGGAAACACGGTTTTCTCAACAACGGGGGAACCCGGGACCTTAAAAGGAACGAACCCCGCCGTGACTGCGACCTCTCCCTTAACCTTGGGCAATCGCGCGCAACGCGCGCCTTTTTGTCTTGAGCCAAATCAATGACATGCGGACATGCCATTGGTCTTGTACCTTGGGGTATTCTACACTTGCAACATGAGAACCTAACTCATGAACCTCTGGGCCATAAATGTCATCGTGATACTTGACTCCCCCTCATTGACGGCACTGAGGGAGTGTCTTGGGCGCATTACCACGCCAACTTGAAGTCAAGTTTACATCACAACGACTGACGCAAGTTATTCAAGCATCGCCCAGTCACTTGCACACGTTTGGAAATTTTTGTGGACATGCCGCAGCGCACTATGCAGCTGCTTTAGCGGATCTACTTTCACGCGCATCTTCAAGCCTCTCTGGAAGGTCAACACGAATGCCGAGCAACCTGATGGCATGGTCCCACTTGTTGGGAGGAAGTGCTTTAGTGAAAATGTCTGCTGACTGCGTGTCTGTTTTGACATATTCTATTGACATGTGGTCACTTTCAAGCTGCTCTGGAATGCAAGCAAGGTTCACCTTGTGCGTGCGTTGTACACAGCGTAGCTTAGATGAGAAACCCTTCTTCGCTACGAGGATGGTGGCCTGATTATCCTCATGGATCTTGAGATGAAATGGCCTATCCAAATCAGCTCCCATAAGCTGAGTGCAGGTAGTGCCTCCTGGTACAGGGAGTACGCAAGAGACACTATTTCCGCCTTCGAGCGCCAGACCGAGGTCTGCCTTTCGCGAGGGGAAAGTGCGTATGCGGGCCACTCAACACCAAGAAACCTCCGGACGTTGATTTTGCGTCTCCTTCCCCAGCGAAATCGGCGTCCACATAGAGAGAAAGATGCAACTCATCAGTCGAGTCCTGAACTGTGCCAACTAGGGTGCTGTTCACCGTGCTATTAATGTAGCAGACAAGCCTATGTAATTGCTTATCGCAATTCCTAGACCATTTCTGAACAAAGGACGCAAGGTCACCAATCGGCTTGACCAGGTCCGGGCGTGCCAAACGCCCCAACCACAAAGCCTTCATCAGCACGCGGCAAGCGGCGAAGCCGAGCTCACCCTCCAAGGCGTCATCTGCGGGATCTAGAGATCCAGCGGGACAGAATGGAGTAGTGGCACCACGCAACTTTTCAGTTTTTAGCTGTGCTACCTCAAGATATATCGCAACCGTTTGATGAGCATAATCTCGCACGTCGAACGCCATGCCCCCTTTCAATCTGCCCATTGCGGCATTAAGATCGGGTTCAGTTGGGTCCTTCGGAGCATCTATCAAAAGGTGATTCCTGCCTAGCACCCGATATATATCTTCTGGGAATTCTATGTCTACCAGTCTTGTTAACTTTTCCCAGAAGTCTTTATGAAGGTGGCTGGGGCCGGCCAATGTCAAGTCGTCGACGTATGTCGAGAGAAGTAACCCGGACTCCTTGAACCAGAAGTTTCCGGGAAACTCTGCGACTTCACGCCCTCCAAGTTCACTAATGAAACCTTTGAGTGCCTCCCAGAGTCCGCCAGCGCCATAAAGAGCTTTAACGAGGTTTCACAAAACGCTCGCGCCACCACCTCGGCCGGAGCTCAGGCGGGAGTGTGATCCAAGTTTGGTACTTGGACTTCAGCAGTGCTTGTACGTAAGCCTTTATAGCGTCCGCTGTTGCGGTGGAGTTCCCTGGCAGGGATCCATAAGCGAGACAGTTATTAAGACCTTGTACGCTCGTGGGATTTGCTCCCAGTTCTTGGTATACAGCCGCTGCACCATGTTCGTCTTTCGCACAGTCTCCGCGACACACTATCCTACCTTTCATCTTTTAAAGGTGTTTCGCGAGTTCGGCGAACTTGGCGGATGCTAGCGACATCAGCTGTCCGAAGTGAACTTTTACACTGGATCGTCGCGCCTCAGCAGCGACTTGATCGTATTCTCGGACTGAATTAAGATCCCAAACACCGGCTTTCTCGAGACCTGTGGCTTCTAGTCGAACGGCTTCAAGGGAAGCCAACATTTCGGCACGTGACAAGAGTCTGGTCACCATTGCGGTGATTTCAAGATCCTTCTCCTCTTTACCTTGCCTAGGGAATGTGCGATGAGATTTTCAACATCAAGAACTTGTTCGACGATGTCGTGACACTTTTCATCGGACTCAACAGCTATTCCTATATCTTCCAAACCAGAGAGAGGGGATATGTGTTTCAGCTGCTGCTCACGTTCCCGGTGGTCGAGAGGCAATGGCACTTGAACAGGCATCGCAGGCACAACGGGTCCTACTGTCGGATACAGCGCACGGGCAACTGTGAGACACATGCCTTCGGGATAGAAAGCGGTCTTTGCGGTTTTGTTACCTGCTGCAAGCGAGTGATTAAATCCTTTCTCATGCGGACACTTGAACGCACTTAGCGCGGATGCGAGCGTGCTATTGCTAGTCAACACTTTCCATGGCTTTTTGATGGGGCAACCGTTGCTGTCCTTTAGACCTAGCACACAACCATGGAAGGTCGCTGGGGTAAAGGCCTGTGCGTATTCCCTAAAGAATGCAGCAACATCATTCCTAGCCCAGCTGTCGCAATCCCTTGGCCATTCAAACGAAACACTACCCCCCTGATGAAGGACAGTCTCAGCGTGACGTCTGCATCTGGAGAACAACTCTCTCGACTCTCTAACCTTCTGCTTCAATTTCTTTTTGAATTGGCTTCCTAGCTTGGCCTTGTTAAGGCGTTGCCACGCTGATCCGGATGTGCAGGGAATTGCGGCCCACAGATTGGGCTTCTCGCAACCTTCTATCTGTGACTGCAGTTGGATTTCTCCTTCATCGGTGCTAAGGTCGATGTGCTCTTTAGCCAGCCTAACATGTGGTATGCCTAGACCTTCAAACACGCGACCCATATTGGACTCTGGTGAGCATGCGTATTCAAACATCACGGGTAACTTGTCCATGCGTGCCTGACGCTTGCGGGCACGATGATTCCCTACCACAAACTGCTTGGGCGGCGGAGTGTCAACCTCTGCTCTGCACGGCGTGCCAAAAATTGGCAATGTGTCTGGACGACCGTTCTTTGACGCTTTGGTGGGAGGCGTCGGCGGTACGGACCCTAACATCACGGCTGCACCTGCGGTGATAACACAATCGGACTGAGTGGGTTTTAACTTGAACACTGTGAAGCCGGTCCATGAACCCGCAAGTGAGCGATTTGGTCGGCTACCAAACCAACCATCGTGGATGTTGTCTGCTCTGCCCCTGAAACACGGCACGAGTGGCGCGAGCTGCAGTGAACCTTTCTGGGGAAACGGGGCAAACCTCGACTTTGTTTGGGGTAAAAAGATTCTGCCTTGGCATGATATGGTACCTAACCAAACAGTTGGCATTTTCTTTGAACACCCAAAAATCTTCACCTTGCGATGTAGCGGCTGTCGCTGGCGCGGAATCGAAAAATGAGGCACCGGGTCTTGAGGGAGCTGGCTCCCCGGCTTCGGCTGCATCGAATTCATGCGCTACGTCTTCTGCGCTAACTGCGATTTTAGGATCTTTATCATGCTCGGATGCGTGGATTGCTCTGGCCAGCTCCTCATCCCCTTCGGTATGAACAATGGGAATGGGTTCCTTAGACTCAATTTTGGCAGCGCTTTTTACAGCTGCTTCAGCC